CCTACTCAAAGGCCTGGCGAAAGAGCTCCATCTTACAGGCCCTGCGGAACTGCAAAATGTCCCGCAGGGCCCTGATCTCCTCCGGGAGCTCGTTCCACCAGATAGGAGCCGCCACTGAAAAGGACCTTGCCCTTGTTGCAACAAGCTTGGCCTCCTTAGGGCCTGGGGTCACCAGCCGGTGTTGTGACCCCGACCGAAGTGCTCTTTGTGGAATATGTGGGGAAATGCGGTCCCTCAGGAATGTCGGACCCAGGCCATGTAGGGCTTTAAAGGTAAGCACCAGTACTTTGAAGCGAATCTGGTATGCTATAGGGAGCCAGTGCAGCGCTTCCAGCATAGGTCGGGTGTGCTCCAACCTAGGGGCGCCGACCAACAACCTAGCCGCAGCATTCTGCACCAGCTGCAGCTTCCGGATTTGTGACAGAGGCAGCCCCATGTAGAGAGCGTTACAGTAGTCTAGCCTTGAGGTGACCGTCGCATGGATCACTGTAGCTAGGTCGTTGCGGTCAAGGAAAGGAACCAACTGCCTCACCAGCCGAAGATGGTAGAAGGCCGATCTGGCAGTGGCTGCCACCTGGGCCTCCATCATTAAGGTGGGGTCCAGGAGCACTTCCAAGCTCCTAACCTTCAAAGCTGGCACCAAAGGTGCCCCATCGAAGGTCGGGAGCGGGAGCCTCAACCTTGGTCTGGTCCGACTCAAGCACAGGACCTCCGTCTTTGCCGGGTTTAATTTCAGCCTGCTCAGTCTGAGCCACCCAGCCACGGCTTGTAGTGCCCGGTTCAGATCTTCTGGGTTGGAGTCCGACTGGCCGCCCAACATCAAATAGAGCTGGGTGTCATCTGGGCGAGGGGGCGCATATATATGTTAAACAGCATCGGGGAAAGCACCGCCCCCTGGGGCACCCCACATTCAAGCGGGTGCCTCTGGGATTGCCGTTCCCCTAGCACAACCCTCTGTCCCCGACCTTGGAGAAATGAGGCAAGCCATTGAAGGGCGAGCCCCTGAATCCCCTCGTCAGCAAGGCGGTGGGACAGCAGCTGATGGTCAACCATATCAAATGCGGCCGACAGATCTAACAGCAACAGTGCCGCCACACCGCCTCGATCCATTATTAAATAAAATACAATGTAATTGTTAATGGAGCTGCGGTGGCTCAAGTGGTTAAAATGCTGAACTGCAGGCTGTGGAAGGTCAGTAGTTCAGCAGTTCAAGACCCGGGTGCCGCAAGACGGGGTGAGCTCCTGTCTCTAGTTCCAGCTCCTGCCAACCTAGCAGTTCGAAAGCAAGAAATTGCAAGTAGATAAATAGGTACCACTTCGGTGGGAAGGTAACAGCGTTCCGTGCGCCTTGGTGTTTAGTCATGCCGGCCACATGACCACGGAAACATCTTCGGACAGCGCTGGCTCTTCGGCTTTGAAACGGCTTTGAAACGGCTTCGGCTTTGAAACCCTAGAGTCGGATTCGACTGGCTTTCGAGCAAGGGAACCTTTACCTTTACCTAATTGTTAATGAGGGCATATAGCTGAGCCTAACCTTATATCTTATTACAAAATATCTCTTGCTAATGTCCATGCATGGTCAGTTCTGTGGAGGAGTCAAAGCTGTTATCTGTTTTTGTGTCATTTTGAAGATAAGGTAAACTTATTTCTGTTGCACTTCAACGTTGGCCAATAGGGAAAAAATGTGTAGTATTTTGCTTTGTATTATTGGCCTTGTCGGAACAGTGCTATATTTAGCAGTGCTACCATGGTTCCATGGCAGCTATGAGTGGTGTGGGATAGATAAGATGAACTGCTACTTTGTTTTGAAGCAGTCCATGCTGATGACTGCTTTAAGCACAGAAGCCTTATATCTGCACACAGACTGCCTTGCTGGCTACATTTTGTGTATGCCTGGGACAGCCATTTGTATTTTCTGCTTTGGGCATCCAAATGTCTTAGGACAGCTCTGGTAAAAAATAGAATGTTTATTAAAAGCCAGTGTGGTATAGTGTGACAGAATTTGGGGTTAATTGAGCCGGGGCCTTTCTGTTTTTCTATACTACATAGATTTTGCTATAACTCATTTCGGTTTCTTGGTTCTGAAGTCCCATGAGCCTTTGCTCTCTAAGCTATATGCCTGTGCTTGAAAGCTAAAACCTTAGCCTTCAAACCTACCTAGGGTTGACAGGTCTTATCTCACTTTTAGGAGGGGCTAATGCTCCCTTTAAGCTATGGAGCCCTGTGAGCAAAAATTCTACTTTGTGAGCTACTGGCATTAAAGTTGTGAGCAGGTGATTTGGCTACTGCATAAATTTGTTTGCTCTGGAGCCATCCTTCCTGAGCTAAAACAAAACTGTGTGAACCAGAGGCTAAAAAAATTGTGAGCTAGCTCACATTAACTCAGCTTAGAGGGAACACTGGCTCCCAGGTCCATCCTGGAGTCCTCTTCCCATAGAGTTTTTGACCAAATGCTAGTGCGTTGATGTGCCGGGTATGGTGATGTCACTTCCAGGTGATGTCATTGCACCGACTATGTCAGTGCAGGAGGGGGCTGTTTGGGGTGGGGCTTCCCCTGCCAGCCAGTTGCTTGGTGGCAGATTGAAGCCCCCAAAATTGGGGGAAACCTTACCCCAACTGGAGTTTGGCAACCCTAAATGTACCTTTGCCGAAGTTCATATGCCTTCCAGGGCCTCCATGTACCAGGCTCCAAGCCTAAACATTTGAGATTAGTACATGAGACACCATACTATCTGTGACTCTGAAAAATCTCCCTTATATATAAAGCCGTAATGGGGCCCAACATTCCAATTCACACCAACAGTGTTTGGAGGCTTGAACTGTCAGTCAGAAGACGCTGGCTGGGTTGTCTGGCTGCTTTGTGTAGTCCCGCCCATGTCAGCCCCGGGCGAAATGTTCAGCTCAGTCTGCTCTGGGCCTCTGACAGGAGAGGCTGGGGGGGGGGGAATGTAAACCTGAAGACAGATGGGCAGATAACAGTAGGCTGATGGTTGCCTGGAAAGGACATAGGGTTGCCAACTCCAGGTTGGAAACTTCCAGGATATTTTAGGGATGAAGCCTGCTGAGGGTGGGGTCTGAGGAGGAGGAAGAGGGGGACCGCAGACAGATACAATACCATAGACCCCGCCCTCCAAACAAGCTGTTGCCAATCTCCAGGTGACAGCTGGAGAGCTCTTTAAGCTCTGGTGCTAATTCAAAGTGCTGGGGATGTGTTCAAGGCTCCCTCTAAGCTGTGGAGTCCTGTGAGCAAAAATTCTACTTGGTGAGCTCCTGGCATTAAAGTTGTGAGCGAGCGATTTGGCTGCTGCATGAATTAGTTTGCTCTGAAGCCCTCCTTCTTGAGCTAAGACAAAACTCTGTGAGCCGGAGGCTAAAAAACTGTGAGCTTGCTCACACAAACTCAGCTTAGAGGGAACACTGGATGTGTTGCATTCTGGCAGGGGATGCTGTGAGTGTAGAAAACGATTTATTTGAAAGGCGGTGGTGGGGGTGATGAGCCGCCCCCCGCAGCGCTCATTTCGCCGCCA